CCTCACCCAGGCTGAACCGAGACCTTCATCCAGCCTCCAGCTGGTGCCCAAAGCCCCTTCCCCTTTCCCAGAAGCCCCAGTTTGTCCAGAATGGATCTCCCAGGGTTCCCAATCATAAACTGGAGCACAGACAGGACAGGGAAGGTGCCCTCAGCCGCTCTCACCTGTGACGGCGTCGGTGGAGATAAAACCCAAACGTTTCTGCTGCCAGATCCCGTAGAGGTTGAACTTGTAGCGCCGGGAGGGCACCAGGTTGGCCACGGTCACCGTGCGGGACCTGCCGTCCACCCGCAGCACCCGGGGCTGGCCCTGCGCGTCCCTGTACTGCACTGTGAAGGAGTCAAAGGTGCCTTCAAGGATGGTCCAGTTGAGCTGCACAGAGGTCGGAGTGACGTGGGAGGCCGTGAGGTCGCCCAGACGGGGCCGGGATGGAGGTTCCTCCTCCTCTTTGTCCTCTGGTGGTGCTGGGGCTGCAATGGAGAGGGGACAGAGCAGGGTGGGGACAACCCCGTTGTTCCATCAACCAAGGTCATCAACCAACACGACCACTGACACCCACCCACCGACCACACTCCTCTATCCCAACCATCCCCAAACCCAGACCCCAAAGGTACGAGAGGGGACAGAGCAGGGCAGGGTGGGGACAACCCCATTGACCCACCAACCAAGGCCGTCAACCAGCACGTCCAACTCACACCCACCCACCCACCAAACTCCTCCATCTCCTACCAACCATGACCAAACCCAGCCCCAAAGGGAGCGGAGCAGACAGAGAAGGGCAGGATGGGGACAACCCCATTGATCCATCAACCAAGGCCATCAACCAACATCCACCCACCCACCACACTCCTCTATCCAACCATCACCAAGGGGAGCAGAGGGGACAGACAGGGCATATTGGGGACAACCCCATTGACCCACCAACCAAGGTCATCAACCAACGTGCCCAACTCACATCCACCCACCCACCCACCACACTCCTCTATCCCCTACCAACCATGACCAAACCCAACCCCAAAGGGAGCAGAGGGGATGGTGAAGAGTAGGCTGGGGACAACCCCATTGATCCATCAACCAAGGCCATCAACCAACACATCCAACTCACATCCAGCCACCCACCAAACTCCTCCATCCCTAACCAACCATGACCAAACCCAACCCCAAAAGGAGCAGAGGGGATGGTGCAGGGCGGGGTGGGGACAACCCCAATGATCCAAGGCCATCAACCAACACCCACCCACCCACCACACCCCTCTATCCAACCATCACCAAAGGGAGCAGAGGGGACAGGGACGATGTCCCCAGCCACCCTCACCTGTGACGGCCTCGGTGGAGATGGGGCTCCCGCGTTTCCGCCCCCACACCCCGACCAAGCTGAACTTGTAGCGTTGGGAGGGCACCAGGTCGGACACGGTCACCGTGCGGGCGCCGCCGTCCACGGGCACCTCCTGGGGCCGCCCTCGCTCGTCCTCGTACTGCACCGTGAAGGAGTCGAAGGAGCCCTCAGGGACCGACCATTGGAGCTGCACGGAACCGGCGGTGACACGGACGACCGTGAGGTTGTCCAGGCGGGGGTCTGGAGCCGGGTGACCCTTCTCGGGCGCTGGAGATGCAGCAGAGAGGGCTGGTTGGTGGGCAGAGCATGGGGATGGGGAACACCACTCCCTTCCTTCCTTCCTTCCTTCCTTCCTTCCTTCCTTCCTTCCTTCCTTCCTTCCTTCCTTCCTTCCTTCCTTCCTTCCTTCCTTCCTTCCTTCCT